CCTCGTCAGTAAAGCGGAAGAGTTCCATCGAAATAAGATCATCCAGGCTCATTTGCTCGTAGTTGAACTGACTTCCGGTGACCCGCATCAGCTCCTTCCAATGCCGGGACTTCAGCGCAGGACTCTTGAGCTTCGCGAGAAAGGGTAGGGAACTCTGAAAGTTCAGGATAAGATCCTTGATCGGCGTGAAGACGTTGAGTGTGCCGTATTGTTTGCTTAATAGGCGGACCTCTTTTGCGATCTCCTCCGTGGTCGTTTCGAGATCCTCCAAAAGGATGTCCTTCCAATTACTCCGGTTCCATCGCCGGAGCACCACCATCCATTTCTCGTAAATCGAATACACCACCTCCACCTTGGAAAGCTCATTGTTAAGGAGCTGAATGGACATGTGGGTGGTGAGGGGGAGATCGAAAAGCTTCTCCGCCTTGGTGAGTTGGTCGCGTTTGAGCTGGAGGGCGCTCAGTTGGGTGCGCCACTCCTTCTTAAGGTTGTTGCCCTCGGCGAGGTCGATATCGGCGCGGTTGGGCCCGGCGTCCCGGAACTTTTGCAGGGCCTCATCCCCGATCGTCAGGAACTTGTCCACCTCCTCGATAGTCAGATCGCGGAAACGGACCTTCCGCCCCTCAAAATTAACCCCGGTCTGGTGGACGTGGGCGAGAGTGCACTTCCAAAGCCGCCGCAGCCCCATCGCGGTCTCGATTTCGCTTTTGTCGACTTTGATGTCAAAGCTCAGGAGGGAGTGGTAAATGTACTCCATCTCCCGGATCTCCTGCTCGACCGCCAGGGAGGAGGCCTTGGCCTGGTGCATCACCTCCAGGACAAACTTCAGGTCGTCGATGTTGTCGACGTCGCGGTTGAGGTCTTTGTTGAGCTTGAGGATTCGATTATACTGGGCCATCATGCGGGCGCGAACGATATCGTTCAGCTGCGCGCCCTCCATTGAAATCCACTGGTAGATGTGGTCTACCAGCTCGGAGAAGAAGGAGGTCTCATCGCAGCGCATGAAGCCGAAGTCCTGCACGTGGTTCTCATTATCAAAGTCGTTGATCATGTTGAAGTAGAGCTGGAACTTGGCGTCGTAGTCGATCCAGTGGTACTGGTTTTTGGCCTGCTGCTCGACAGAAATCTTCTTGTCCGCGAGGTAAACAAATCGGTAGCGCTGAAGCATTTTGATATTTGTTGCGAGCGAGGCCAGGTGGGTTTGGATGGTGCGATTGATGAGCGCCTGAATTTTGTAAACCAGCGGCAGATTGTAAGTATCCTGGTGAAAGGTAAACAGCGCCGAGTAGTCTTCATCCACCGGGCGGGGGACGATCTCCCCTTGCGTGAATTCCAGGCAAGTCCCGCGCATCCAACGTTGGAAGAGCTTCGTAGAGTCGATAATTCCGGACTGGATCTTATGGAAGGCGGATGTGATCTCCTGCTGCGGCGGCGAGTAGTTGGGCTCTGTCGTGAGAAAGATGGTGACCTTAAAAAGCGGCGGCCGCTTTGTATTATAGTTGGAGGTATAGCCCACGAGCTTTGCAAAGGCTTCAAGAGACTTGCACACCATTCGCCGCAGCGCTCGCCAGATGCGCTGCTCCCAATGGCTGTAGTAGCTTTCCAGAGTCGGGCATTTACCGGTGTGCGTTCCCACAAGCTGACTTTCGACCTTGGTTAAGAGCGGCTTCGCGATGCGGTAGGCCCGCACGCAGCGCTCCAGCTTAATAACTCGCCGCTGCTCGATAAAATCAAGGAGGGCCTGGAGCTCGGGCAGCTCCCCACCATCCTGGAGGATCTCCTCGTATTCGGGCATCAGTTTCGTCGAGGAGATCTTGTTGACCACCTGAATCTGAATACTCTGGGCGCTTTTCCGCACTTCACGGCTTAAATTTCGGAACTTGGTGATGGCCTTGCTGCAGCTGGCAACAAAGTCCGGTATACTCAGACTGGTCCAGTTAATGTCGTGAAAACCAGGCTCCAGCTCGGCCTTCAGCTCCGCGATGTTTTTAGCCAAAATGGCAGACTCCGGCCCCTCAATGATTCGCAGTTCGTAATTGAGGTTCAGTAGCATCGTCTTAAGGGATTCAACATAAGTGTGATAGGCCTCATCCTGCAATGTGATGTGCAAGGCTTCTTGTGGAACTTGAAAGCCGAGAAGATCAAGGTACTTGGTCTCACGGATGATATCAAAAATTCTGGGGTCGAAGTTCACCAGGTATGTGTTGTTGATCTCTTTTCGGAGAATATTCCACTTCAAAGACGACGTGTTGGTGTGCTGAATGTCCTCACGCCATTGAATAAAGCGTGCGGTAGCATAATCTTTCATTTGGCGAGCTACCTCGACGTATTTCGCCTTGACTTGTTTTCCCATCGATGTGTTAAGCATCGATTCATGCTGAAAACGAAGAATCGGCTTCTTGATGCGCTGAAAGAGAGCCATACTCCAGTGAATGGAACCCGCAACTGGGGGTTGGTTTTTCGTGAGCGGTGGGTTGTCCCGATTCTCGACAAATATAGTCCGTACGTCTTCAACTTCAGAGTAGTACTGCGCGAGAATGCGGTCAGCTTTCTCAGAAAGAAGGGCTGAAATATCCAAACTGGTACTGCTCCGATGTGGTCGATTTTTAATCGTCTCGAAGGACAACAAGAGCTCGAGAGCTGACTCCGCGCTGCGCAAGTCTTCGTCAAATATCTTGTTGATGAAGTAAGACACCTCTTGGTCGAGGTTCACCACCATATTTATAAAGGTCGAAAAGACTACCTGCCAGTTGTGCGTTGCTCTTTTCTCAAAAGGGTCAAAGGTGAGAGTTTTGAAAGGGCGCTTTAGCTTTTCTACATCTTTGAGAATACGTTCAATACCGGTGGAGTCTGTCAGAACCGTCTTGAGTTGTGAGCTGAGGACCATAGTGTAGAATTCCACTGTCTCGACGACATCTAACAAATCGGTGCATCGATCGTACATGTAATCGGTTGTATCAAACAGACGCCGCGTATCGAAGTTCCAATTTTGTTCACGTTCAGCACTATTAATCTCCTCCCGAACGTTGGTATACGCGGCCTTCCATTTTAAAAAGCACTGCTGGCCCTCGATTACTTTTTGGCGAGCCTCGTTAATAGGCAGCAAAAGAATTGTGCGAAAGTCAATATGCTCGCTCACCTTCTGGGCAATGAGCTTAGCCACCTTCTCCAGAAGCCCGACCATGCGCTCTTCGGTTGAGTAGAAGCGCGAGATAATCCACACCATGCGTATGGCAGTCATCATCGAAGACAGAGTGTCGATGATGGGTGTAAGGGAGCCGTTCTTGGCGTCAATATTCTGCAAGGTACGAAAATGGCGGTCGAGGGTGCCGAGAAACTTGACATTGTCCTTTGCTTCGGCGTGCTGGTGGAAAAACTGCTGTAGGGTAGTGGTGATGAGCATGGCAGACGGGCACTCCGCCTCGGTTGCGATGCGGAGAATAAACCGCGCGTGGGGTGCGTTGATCTGTTCATAAAGAGCGCTGATCGCGCTGTACTTCTCCCGCCAGTACTCTATTTCGCCCAACGGTCCTGTCTTCTGCGGATCGAGCGACATGGCGTAGCTGATTTCGGCATGCCATTGAGAGACGGTAAGGTCGACCTCTCGGAGCAATTCCAAGTCGGTCAGCGAAGCCTTGAGGTCCGAGTCGGTGGTGCCGAGCGCGAGGAGGGTTTGCGGCATCGGCAGCTTTCGCTCCGCGCTGACCTGCTTGAGAAAACCGCACATCTGCGTATCCAACCGCGAGACCCAATTCGCGATTTCCTTATAAAGATGGCGACAGGAGACGCCGCCGGGGGTTTGAGCG